GGGGGGCAGGCAGGGTGTTTGCCAAAGATAAATGCTAAGGCTGTCTGGCCTAGGAAGATAATCTCCCTTTGGTCCACCAATATTCAACTTATTTAGGACAGTATAAGGACAGAATTGATCTCAGGTGACAGCAAACTTCCAATCTGTACTAAGTGATATATTACAAGTGAGGATTCAGCTCCTTAGCAGAAAGAGAAAGAACACGGTTTAGTGTTTTAGACTTAAGTGTTAAAATGTTTAGACTTAATTATGGATTAATAATTGAGTAATCATCTCCCAGTGAAGAACATGACTCTGCTGGAGACTGGGCTGCAAAAATAGGAAACAAAGGAAAAACATTCCTACACTGAACCCCAATTTTTAGCCAGAGAAAGTTCTCAGGTATGGAAGAATACTAAAAACTGTAAAGTGACTGATGTCCTGTACAGTAAAAAAATACTAAGTTTTAACTTCCTGTTCCTCTAGACCCGTGGTCGGCAAACTCATTAGTCAACAGAGCCAAATATCAACAGTACAACGATTGAAATTTCTTTTGAGAGCCAAATTTTTTAAACTTAAACTATATAGGTAGGAACATTGTTATTAACTTAATTAGGGTACTCCTAAGGCTTAGGAAGAGCCACACTCAAGGGGCCAAAGAGCCACATGTGGCTTGCGAGCTGCAGTTTGCCGACCACAACAGACTAAGGGTTGGCAATATTATGGCCCACAGGTTCATGAGCAAAGAATGTTTTTACAGCTGAAACCGGTTTGGCTCAATGGATAGAGCGTCGGCTTGCGTACTGAAGGGTCCCAGGTTCGAGTCCGGTCAAGGGCACATGCCCAGGTTGTGGGCCCAATCCTCAGTAGGGGCCATGCAGGAGATAGCTGGTCAACAATTCTCTCTCATCATGTTTCTCTCTCCCTCCCTCGCTCTCTTTCTTCTCTGAAATCAATAAAAATATATACTTTTAAAAACACTGTTTTTACATTTTTAAATGGCTGAAAAATAAAAAAAAATTGTGATGTGAAAATGATATGAAATTCAAATTTCAGTGTTCATAAAGTTTCCTTGGCTCATAGCCATGCTCATTCACTTATTATCGTGGATACATTTGCATTACAACGGCAGAGTAGAATAGTAACAGGTTGTATGGCCTGAAATATTTGCTACCTAGTCCTTTACTAAAAAAGTATGTTGACCCCTGCTCCAAACAAGCACTGTCCAATAGAACTTTTTGCAATGTTAGAAATGGTCTATATTTACACTATCCAATTCAAAAGTTACTAGCCACGTGTGGCTATTTGAGCACTTGAAATATGATTAATGTGACTGAGGAAATGAATTCTTAATTTCATTTAAATAATCACATGTGGCTAGTGGCTACCATATTAGACAGTACAACTCTAGACTCTTCTCAAGTCTTCTGTACTGACATTTTTTTTGTCCCTTGTCCCAACATCTCACTCCCCTCCTATGACACACCTCTCTATGGACACTTTAGTCTGGCGCCTGGTTCCCCTTCCCTGGCCCTATTTAACTGACTCCAAGCTAGGGTACAAAATTTAGTAGGTTTTGTTTCTAGACTCTCCATTGACAATTAAAATCTGAAATCTGATCAGTTTACCAAGTTTCACCTCATGAATTAATCCACATTACGTGCACACACATAAATGGACATTTACACAAGTGTCTTTGTGTCAGAGGATGGCACTGTGGCTATGTTCTTTCTCTGCATGAGAGAAGTAGAAAAGCCTTCCAAATGCTGGACCCTTGTTGCTGATGGAACCTGTGATATGGATCACCTCCCTCCAAATGCATTCACGGAAGCTGAGAACAGCAGATGTACACTTGCTATTTGAATCTCAGAGAGAACACATCCTTCATCATAGGACTTTCTTTCCTCCCCTCAGGCCTAATAAACAGAAGTTAGCTGATTTCTCTAGTTTAATAGATGCTTGCTTTTTTACTGGCCTTTTCTAGCTGGGCAGAAGAACAACTCCCAGACTGTCTCAATCTTGGCTAAGAGCTCTAGCAAAGGCATTAAAAAAATTTACCAAAGTAAATGAAATCCACATAAATACACTTTAGTAGAGACAGTACTTAAAATGGAAAAAGTTATAACTCATAACTTTGTAATTATTTGTAAAAGTAATCTTGAAAGTCTAAATTTTTCATACCTCCCTAGGAAAAAATGGGTTTCTGTAAACTTCCAGCTTAAAAAGAGGAGACACATAGTTCTCTTTCTCCAGATTAGCTATAGCAAGCAAAAAGTTAAAAAAACAAAAAACACCTCACTCCATTTCAAACATCTGACTGCGAGGCCAAAGCCTCCTAAATCCTGACAGAGAAAACCAGTTTTATGTATAGCCTACTCTGAGCTTATATAATTAAGATTGGGTCCTGTCTGGAAAAACAAAAACACTGAATCCTTTAGGTACTATATAAATTGTGAGCCACTGAACCCAACCATCCAAAAGGGGACGCAGAAGAAAACCAGCTCTGAACCATGGAACTTCCCTCAGGCCAAGCTGTCCTAGAGTTGTAGGGTCAGAGCAAAGTGGTATAAAGTACTGAGAGACTGGCTATTCCTGTGTGAGTTTATATTCAGGCTAATAATTTCCACTAAGCTTTAAATTATGCTACTCATCACTGAGCAATGGAGGCCCATCTACCCTCAAGTCTCTCCCACACTTCCTCTCTGGTGTCTGCAAATAAGGGACCTAATACCATCACCACATGAACTAAAGACAGACTTTCACAGTCTAACCATGAAAAGAAGTTTCCAAGTTACTCTGCCATTTTCTCATGTGGCTCCAGCTGCATATTTTGTGTTTTTTTTTTAATATATTTTATTGATTTTTTACGGAGAGGAAGGGAGAGGAATAGAGTCAGAAACATCGATGAGAGAGAAACATCGGCCAGCTGCCTCCTGCACACTCCCCACTGGGGATGTGCCTGCAACCAAGGCACATGTCCCTGACTGGAATCGAACCTGGGACCCCTCGGTCCGCAGGCCGATGCTCTATCCACTGAGCCAAACCGGTCAGGGCCCAGCTGCATATTTTGGATGTGAGGTGGTTCTTATAAACTTGGAAGACCCTTATAAACTTTATCATGGTACACAAAATGGTTTCATAACCTGAACTCCTACAGTTCCTGATGTTTTTCTTTAGGCATGCACACAATCTATGCAGGTGGAAAAACCAATCCAGACTCCTCTGTGCTCAGTCTGTCATTTAAATAAAAAGACAGATTAACTTTTCTTCTTCCAGCCCTAGGCTCTTTACCTCATGCCTTTTGGTTTTATTTTGTTATTGAGGAAACCAGGCAGCCCGGCCAATGTGGCTCAGTGGTTGAACACCAACCTATGATCCAGAAGGTCACAGTTGATTCCTGGTCAGGGCACATGCCCAGGATGCAGGCTCAATCCCCAGTAGGGGACATGCAGGAGGCAGCCTATCAATGATTCTCTTTCATCATTAATGTTTCCATGTCCCTCTCCCTCTCTCTTCCTCTCTGAAATCAATAAAAATATATTTTAAAAAATGAAAGAAAGAAAACTAGATAATTCCAGCTCAGAATTCAAGGTGCTACTGCTTGGTAAATTATTAACTGCATAGTGAACCTAATGTGGATTCACTAATAGTACTAGGGTCTGTAGGAGGCCAAAAAGAGACTTTTCCCCCTAAAGACATACCCTTAGCTGTCTTTTCCATTTTCTCTATAGAGGTTGAACGGGAAAGGAAAGAAAATACTGCATGTTTGCATCACCAGAACAAGAATCAGGTGGGAAATCCAGAGTGACCAGGCCCCCTCAAAACCAGTGCCTAAAGCTATGCAACAAGCAGGGTTCACAGTTGAGTGAACATCAATGCATAATGAGTGGAGGTATTTCCATGCAAATAAATGCTGAATATGAAGGATTAAAGAAAGGGGAAATTAATCTTTTTCATAACACCGGGCACTTTTTTTCTCTCCCTTGTGCTCTCTTTTTAAGTCATGCACACAAATGCTGGAGAGGATCCAACTTCCCCAGTGTGGTGGTGCTGCTTCATAAAAAGCAGAACATATGCATTTAAGACCATGAATTCCCTGATACCAGCAACTGAGATTCTGATAGCTCTTCTGAACAGCCTCAGAAGAAAGGCTTTGCTAAGTGGGGGCCAGACTGACTAGTAAAAATCTCATTTCAAACCAACCTCCTATTTTTCCAAAACTCACAGCTTCCTGGGGTGTGGATGGTTTAAAGGGTTTGGTTTCAGCATCTGGGGGTATTTGGATGCAATTACTGAAGGGATTTTATTTTTCAGTTTGTTTCTAATTGCCCCATCCAAGTGGTGCTTTTGCAATACCAACAAAATAAATAGGGCAGTTTCATGCTGCTTTAGCAGGTGGCTCCATCTCTTCCCAGTCTGATCTACTTATGCCTAATGTCTCAAGCCCGAGAACAAAGTGGTAGCACCTATTCAGACTATCTCTTAAAAAAATTTTTTGTTTTAAAAATCTGCCAACAAAGCTTTTTGTCCTATCACAGGTTTGTATCAAACACAGGATTTCTCAGACATCCAAATTGTCTACCAGGCTATCATTTTGGGGGGGGGCAGGGGGCCTCAAAATTCAAGTGGTCCCTCCAAAATCGTTAACCTAGGTTAAGAATTTTCCCAAGGAACAATTTGTTCCTTTTTCCTCAAATACCATTCTGAGAAAAACTGTCAAAGACCTAGAATTTTTAAAATAGGTTTTTATAAATAATGTATTCAAAGATTTTGACCCACTACATAAAGAATCCCACTCCCTAAGAAAAATATACAAGTTTGATAAGAGTTTACATTCTGAGAGTGTCAAGCTTGATTCCAAGCCTTGAGATTTCTACTGCTTCAGTTCCAAAGGACCAACGGATAACAATTTTAGTACACAAAACTCCACTAGGCTGTATAGTTCCTTTTCTCCTGGGTCAGACAGCTTTATTCTGCTTCATTAACCCCTTCTTTGCGCCTTGATGGATCTTGGAATCCAGTTTCCCTGTAAGGGAGAAAAAGAAGCCTCATTATTTATTTTTTATATTTGCAATGCAAATCTTTCATGGCCTCCCAGGTCTTCTGGTTACTGTGTTCCTGTCACATTCAATTATCTTGCTTCAGGACTCTGACACTTTCAAACTTCAGAGTTGCATTCTGTAAGAATGAGGAAGCAGTGGAAACACCATATAGAGAGATACAAAAGCATGCACACAAACACAATGAGTATTCATTCGCCTAAAGGATTTAAGTTAATATTTCTAATTTTGTAGCTAGTAGAAAAGAAACACCATCTTTTCCAATCTAATACTAAACCAAGTTTTTAAAGAACAGAAAATATAATAGAGAAAGGCATTTCACGCAGTGGGAAACCCATTCCTCTGACCTGTTAACTCGCTGAGCATAATGCATGAACCTCCCTCACAATGAGAAAAGCAGTTCAACTCACCCCTTTCCTGCCTCTGACTTAATAGGGGGAGTGACCTGAAACAGTAGAGTAGAATCCACATGAATGCTGTACTGACAAAGGGCCCCTATCACCAGCTAAGAAGGGCAAAGGTCATAGGCTGCATGACTCTTCTAAGTGTTAAAGTTAGAAAACAAGCAACCTTCCTGTCCCAGGTGACCTGCCTTAGGAGTGAAGAACCTGTGGTCTCTGACCTCTGATTCCTCAGATCTACCAGGACAGAGTTTGGTTCAGTGGTAGCAGCCTGAGGAGCCATCCATCTCATGAAGAGAAAGCAACTTGAGTTCCTTCCTGTCTGCCTGGCCTGAGAATAGTGTGTACAGTTTGCTTTCTTCAAAAAAAAAAAAAAAGTCTCATTTAAGTCCATAGCAATGCTAATGCTGGAAACAGAAACAATTAAGTTGAACATCATCCTCGGCACTAAAAAACCCACAAAAACAAACAAACAAAAAAAAACTAAAACAAGGATTCACATGTATTACAGGCCCATACCTACAATCTTTGCCCCAATATGCTGTCATTTCCATTTCTTGCAGCAATCAGGTATAAAAGAGCACTAGACTAGGAGTCAGGAGACTCAGGTTCTTTTCTATTAACTAGCTATATGATCTGGGGCAAGTCATTGTTCCTCTGGATTTCAATATCCTCATTTGCCCAATTAAGAATACATGTTGTGCGGCTCAGTTGGTTAAAGCATCATCCCGATACACCAAGGTTTCGAGCTTGCTCCCCAGTCAGGGCACATACAAGAATTACCCAATGAATGCATAAATAAGCGGAACAACAAATCGATGTTTCTCTCTTCTCTCTTTCTCTCTCTCAAATAAATATTTTTAAAACCTTGTTTAAAAAAAATAAAGAACACATGTCATGACTACTGCACAAAGAGATTGTGAGAAAAATAACCACCACTTAACAAGTTTCCCTGTTTTCTAAATTTCTTCCCCCTTCCTCCATCTCTCGAGGGCTATACCTGCTCCTGGAATAACATTACTTCTTTTCTGGACTTTCTCAGAAACCATCACTAAATGATAATCTAAATGCCATTCACAATAGTCAAAATGCTGTTGATTTTATTTTATTTATTTATTTTTTTTACAATGCTGTTGATTTTAATTTGGGCTTTAGAGCACAGAGTATTCCCAAGGATTTAGAAGTTCTTTCATCCCCTAGGCTGCCTGGTTGGAAATCTGAACATGTGCCAGCAATCGGGCAAAGAGCCCTATTACGAAGCAAGTTTGGCCCTGGCTGGCATGCTCAGTGGTTAGAGTGTCGGCCTGTGCACCAGAGGGTCTTGGATTTGATTCCCAATCAAGGGCACGTATCTGGATTGCAGGTTTGATCCCCACCCTAAGGTGGGGTGCATGTGGGAATGTGGGAGGCAACCAATCAATGTGTGTCTCTCATATCAATGTTTCTCTTTCTCCCTCTCTCCCTCTCTCTCTCTCTCCCCACTCCCTTTCACTCTCTCTAAAAATTAAAGGGAAAAATATCCTCACTCCTTGAGTGAGGATTACAAAACAAGGCAAGTTTGCCTTTGTATCTCTAACACTACCAAATGGTAGGTGCTCAATAAATGTTTTCATCAAATGAATTAAACAAAGAAGGCAGACACTACAAATTTCAAAACCTTTACATTATAGGAACTATTGAGTAAACAAAAATAGATACTATTAAGAGTATCCATAATAGCGGTGGTGGTACCCAGAGGTACAAAGAAGCATGGTGTATTACTCAGCTTTTTAGAACAAGCCAGGACAGAATTTAGAATTCCATCTAGGACTCCAGGCTTCCAGTCCTCTTTATTGAATAAGCTGGCAGAACCAGGTCCCAGTTTCAGTCCTGAGGCTGCCTAGCTGTATAACCCGAAGGAAGTCACCCAGTCACTCTTGTCCTCAATCTTTTCAATGCTAAGAAACTAGACTACATAGTACTGATGGCTCTTTCCAGCCCTATGATGTTGTGTCCTAATGAAATGTAAATTGGAATGATTTGTTTCTGACGCAATATGAAAAACAAAACACATAAAACCTAGAAAAGAGCTGGAAACCTAGAAGCAAAAAGATGTGAGCAAAATACAATTCCTATAAACCTGTTTACTCAACTAAAAATGAAAGGAGGAAAAATTCCTACCAACTTATAAAGTTGTTGAAAGGATTACAGCTAACATTAAGTGCTTTCTATAAACCAAGCACTGTGCTAAGTATTTTACATTCATTAAGTCATTTAATCAAATAACTAATTGAAATCATATATGTTAAAGTGCCTCATAAACTCAAAGTTCTCTGAAAAAGTAGTTGAGGCTTGGGAGCTGTATTTCTTAGATATGGTCTGTTTTAATTTACCATATAACTCTAGGCAAGTGTTTTCACAATATTCACAATATTCATTTCAGATTCCTCATACCTGAAAAAGAGACATTACCTTCTTCACACTCTCAAAGCTTTACTGTATAAGAACTTTCCAAGTATAATTTTTAGAAAACTGCAATCTGGTTATGACAACCTTCAAGTAAGACCAGCTCAGGTAAGATCAACTCATCAGAGCAAAGCACTCAGTGGTAGGCAGACTAATCTCTGACTTCATTATGATGTCATAAAATAGAAAACTAATAGGAGGAAGGAGATATAGAAGAGTAAGGATTTCCAAGGCATTTTCAGGGATTCAGAAGTTCTTTTCATCCCCTAGGCTGCCTTAAAAAAAAAAAAACCTGTACATGTGCCAGCCAACTGTGAGCTCCTTACAAATAAGGACTTCTTTGCATTCCCTAGCATCTACCACAGTGACTGCCAATAGTAACAATTCTTGGGGTCAGCTGTGGGCAATGAGGGCAAGGGACTAGGGCTTCTTGCATGAAGAAGCAGTCATCATGGCTGCCCTTGGATTACATGGACTCTGAACTTTGAGTTCTAGTTCAGCCTGGACTTGGGATCTGGACAGTTAACTTATGTAACACACAGTATACACTCTCTTAAAAGCAGAGTGATAATGCTTAGTTTCTGTATTTCCCCAATACTTTCACATTTAGTACCTACAGCATTTCAATATTAAACCACATCCTCAATCATGGTGTCTATGAGAAAATCAAATGCATGTGCAACAGATGGGCTAGAAGTTGAAAGGGAAAAAGTATTTGCCATCCATTGATATAACTCTCATAGGGATTTTCACATGCTTTGCATAAGATATAAGGCAGTATTTACATGAGTTTATAGAGCATGTAGTTTATTTAAAGTAAAAATATTCCTCTATCTCTCTGAACATTCAACCTATATATTCTACTATACTAAACATTTTTGCATTTCCTAATTTGAGCACAGCCAAATGATACCATATTGCACATTGCTCTTTTCTAAATTATTTCAATTTCAAGAAACACAATTATCCCCAGGTCAAGCAAGCTCAAGTTTACATATCCAAAAACATAAATCAAAATGTATACCTTTAAATGAAGGCATATATACATATATATACATGACACAACATGTAAATGGGTTGTATTCTAAAAGTTTATTTCCAAGTCAGAAGTTTAGAACTTGGAATATATTTCTCATATAACTATCTATAAAAGGTGGTTATGCCCTAGCCGGTTTGGCTCAGTGGATAGAACGTCGGTCTGCAGACTGAAAGGTCCCAGGTTCAATTCTGGTCAAGGTCACATGCACAGGTTGAGGGCTTGATCCCCAGTAGGGGGCCTGCAGGAGGCAGCTGATCAATGATTCTCTCTCACTCTCTCCCTCTCCCTTCCTCTCTGAAATCAATAAAAATATATTTTTTTAAAAAAAATGTGGTTAGGTTCCTAAGCCATCCCACACAAAAAATTTTTTTAAATTTAAACTATAGTTAGGCAGTCATTGAAGTAGAGTACTAACTATATTATTAATATTATGGAACTTAACCACTATAAGTAACAATATATCTAGAATAAACTATGAAGCATTCCAAATTAAAAGCCAACTATATATTTTTCCCTGTGGCAGTGGGATTAAAGACTCTCCCAGCTGTAAACTACTGAAAGTGGCCCCTACGACCTAAGGCAAGGAAGTTCTGGCAGAGTGTTAAGTTTTTAGAGATGGTAAAATTGAATGAAAGATAAAGGAATGGGGAGTTACAGAGAACAGAAACTTTATACCTGACTAAATCCTCACTCTGGTTTCCTCTCAATTGAATTTATTTTTCTGAGACACACAGGGATTGGTGAGCCTATTCTTTCCTTTAAAAAAAAAAACCCACCAATTTCCACTACCTATTGTTTCTGACCAATGTTTTTTCACCTTGATTGGTCTACCATGAAAGAAGCTGTAGGCTCATAATTTCTATGTAGCTCTGTTGTCCCTGAAACAAGTATACATCCCATTTTGGCTTTTAAAAGCTTTTAACTAACAGAAACAATGGGGAAAGACAAGAGGTTATTAAAGCTTGCTCCCTAAGATCATCACTCCTCACCCCTATTAAACCTTATAGAAAAAAATGAAGGCCATATATGTGCTGAAGGTGGGTCTCTGTCTGGGTAGAGACAGTACTGAAGTAAAACATTTCAGAGAAGTATCTAAGCTCTGTGCACAGAGAACATTTTCTCACGGGAGCTAAAACAGTAGATAAAAACCAAGATAGAGGAGGCAGCTAAGAAAAGGTAACTAAGGTAAAGATCAAGGTAGCAGTGGGTTTGACAGAGGAGCCATACCACATTTCCTCTTACCACCAGAGTAAGGGGAGAATGGAACAGAGAAGAAGAGGGTAGAATGCCACAACCAAAAAGGAGAGGAAAAGAAAGATTTAAATCCTACATAGTTGTAGAAGAAGGGACAAGAATTTCCAGGGCTACTTGGCTACCCATTGGGGTAAAGTCTGAAGTAAATAATTTGTATAAGTTAAGGGCAACTTATGTTCAGATTTTCTGATTTGTAGGAAACTCAGGAACATATGTGTCATTTAAATCATGAGAGTTGCCTGAATTTTGTAGTGAATATACATTAATTTAAGTTCATACTCAAAGCATTTCATTTTGTGATTGAAAGCAGTATTACTCAAAGTGTACTCAGTCAATCAAAGCCATAGGTACATTGGGGAGAAGGCCTAGGATTCTGTCTTAACAGTTCTATAGGTGATTTTTATTTATATTACTAGAGGCCCAATGCATGCATTCATGTACGGGTGGGGTCCGGCTGGTCTGCCCTGATAGGGCCAATTAGGCCAATGGCCGGGTGAAGGGGGTGCGGGAGGTTGGTGGGCTGGCCCTGCCCCCTGGTCCAACTCTGGTTGAATTCCCGGTTGAGGGGACAATTTGCATATTATCCTTTTAATATATAGGATAGTTTGAGAAGTCCTTCTCCACAGAAAAGAATTATAAAGTGGCTAATTGATCTTCAAGATAATGGGTGAGTCAGAGTTGTGCACAGTTGAAGACAATGCATGCCCCAGAATCATCCAGTTCACACAGTGGGAAAGCAATGTCACAGAGGCATAAAATAGTAACTGATATGAGCAAATGAGAGAATAGTGGTGTTGTTTTTTAAAGAAAGTTAGACAAAGAGGATACCACTATATGTTTCCTTAGATTGCTTTGAAACAGAAGAGGCTGCTGTAGGGCCAGACAGAGAAAGAGAAGATGGAAGATGAAGAAAAGGTGAGTGTTCAGAGTAGTCAACAAGCATTTCCTAAGAGGTAAATATAGAGAGGGTATTATAATCACAAATACATAAAGGCAAAAGTTACAGAAAAAAATCATCAAGATGTTTCAAAAAGATGAAAAACAAGAGGCTTAGGGCAAAGCTCTAGAAACCAGTGATCAAGGGAATTGGGGGGAGGGTCAGACGGAATAGTGGGAAAGTAATGCCTCCAAAATAGACAATCAAGAACAGACACTTAAAAAGTTGTCTTATTCTTGGATTAAATACTGATGAACAATGGATAAATGACAATGTTGCCACTAAGCAGTCTAGCAGAACAAAGCACACTCTTTTGGCTGACAAATAGGATTTAAATGTATTGGGGTCCTAAACTGAAGTTTACAATGGTTCATTAGCATGCCAATAATTGTGGACCAATCAGGATATACTTTAGAAAAGGTATTCTATAGTTAACCTAACATTAAAGTTATCAATAAATATAAATTTATTAATCCCCCAACACTTGAGATGCTATAGAAGAGGGTAAAAAGAGAAAATTTTTAAAAAGTTAAACAAGTGAGGTGCAAGAGAAAAAAAGAAAATTATACCGTCAAAGCTTGTGACTTACAGATTTTTGGATTTCCTTTAATGGGAAACTTCACAATCATTTCCTGGGGATTTGTGCAGATGAAAACAAATGGAGAATCAGATTCTTGACTCATGTCTGGATACTGTGAAATATAAAAATAAAAAGTTCAGTCTAGTTGGGACAAATTTTGAATTTCCAGAAGATCAAAGGATGTCCCAGATTTCACCTCAACATGCTGATGACAGTACTCTTCGTTTCATACTCACGTAAAGAGGATTATGCTCAACAAACAAGAACAAACCTTCACCTTTTCTCAGGCCTTAGCACAGTATTCTTATGTAGTCTATTGTCTACCATTTCTTTAAAAAAAAAAAAAAAAGATGCCTGAGATCTTCCCAGAATAAGACTGCCTGTTCTTTAATATAAGCGACTATGAAGTGGGAAATTCAGAGGTCTCCTTCAGGAACATTGGGCACCCCCTACATTCAACTCAAGTGAAACACTGGAATATTTAAGAAAAAACAGAACATTTTAAGAATTCTGCTAAAAACAGTCAAAAGAGCCCTTTTCTCACTAAAGGGAAGGAAGATGATTCACTCTGAAAGGTATGAACATGCAAAAGCTGTTTTACTGGATGCATTCCAGACTTACTTAGGGCGGAAAGGTAACATAGAGCAATTCTGAAAATTATTTAGAAGCCTCCTTGGCTCTCTTAACACAAAATAAATCTATGTGAATACTTTGGACTTTTATGCCTTCTGCAAAGACAGACACAACACCTAGAGTAAGATTATGCTGACCACACAATCACAATTTAAAGAACAATTGGGGATTGGCATAAAGTGCTCTCCAGCAATGCCCAACTGATCTGTTGTTTCATTATTTCCTATCTTGGATGTCTTGTGTTTGTTGGACAAATATGATTCATAGGTTGAATGCAACTATGGGTCAGACTTCATTACTAGAGGAGCCTTTCTCCAAGTAATTACCATCAAAAGTATGAAATTATTTTCCACTCTTTTTCACCTGCCAAGATGTGTCCTCTAAAGATTTAAGGCTCTAAGTAGAAATGGAGGATTCAGTAAGAAAATTCAAATTCTCTACAGCAAGTGAAGTATGAACAGTTAAACTTCTTTACTGGCCACTCTGTGTTAGGTGGTAAGTAATGCTGTGGAAAAAAACAAAGAATTTAAGCAGCTTTTGGTCCTATCCACATACCATGGCTTTCTGTGTGGGACAGGTACGACATGTACCTTTTTTTTAATCCTCACCCCAGCATAAATTTTTCCCATTGATTTCCAGAGAGAGTGGGAGGGAGAGAGGCAGGGAAAAGAGAGAGAGAGAGACACATTGACTAATTTCCTCCTGCACATGCCCCTACCAGGGCTGGGGGACTTGCAACTGAGGTATGTGCCCTTGACTGGGAATCGAACTCGTGACCCTTCAGTCTGGGGGCCAACATTCTAACCATTGACCAAAATTCGCCAAGGCAGTATGGCATGTACTTTGATAACACAAAGCTTAATACCAAGTATCAGCTACAATTATATCACAGCCAAGGTCAAAATGTTCATGGGAGAAAAGAAAGACTAAAGATGAGAGGGTAAACTCCTCTTTCTTAACCTCTTGGAGCTTTAGAATTCAAAGGAAAGTAGGATCCAGCTGTTACCTTTGAGGTGCTTCGGCACAAATAAAACCAGAAGCTGCTATCAAGATCTTTAAACCTAATTCTACAGAGCCAAAGCAACAGTAGTCACAATTGACATCGCTTCATGTTTTTTGCTTTCTCTTCTGTTTTAATAGAGTATCAAGGTAGAGGACAATGCTGCCAGTATTTCACAGCTCTGCTTTTCCAAAATTGCAAGCCATTTCAGCCATTCTCTCCTTTTTTATCTGCATCCATAAATGTTCTCTTGACTTTATTAACCTCATTAACAAACATACTTGTGGCCCTAGCCACAAGTTTGGCCCTAGCCAAGGTTTGACTCAGTGGTTAGAGCATCGGCCTACAGACTGAAGGGTCCTGGGCTCAATTCCAGTCAAGGGCACATACTGCTGTTGCAGGGTCCATCTCCAGCCCTGTACAGGGCACATGTAGGAGGCAACTAATTGATGTGTCTCTCTCACATCGATGTTTCTCGCTCTGTCTTTCTCCCTAAAAATCAATGGAAAAAATATCATCAGGTGAGGATTAACAAAAACAAACTTTCTGTAATGTGTGCCATAAAACAAAAACTCTCCAGATCCCACATTCTCCTCCAGCTATTACCCCATTTCTCAGATTCCCTTTAATAAAATTCATTTAAAGACTATCTATACTCCCTGCCTCAAATTCCTCTATTTTTTTCCTGAACTCACTATACTAACAGGCTTTCAACTCCCATCAGTCCACCCAAACTATTCTTGTAAAGGTCATTGTTCATTTCCAAACTAAATCAAATGACCAGTTTCTCAGTACTTATTTTAATTGATCTGTAGAACCTGACAAAATTCTTCTCCCCCTCGTTCTTGAACACATTCCTCAGTTGGCTTCCAGAATACCATTCTCTTCCTGGTTTTGCTGCTTTACTGACTGCCTCTCATCTCCCCATTCTTTAAATGTTGGTATGCTTCAGGGGTCAGGTCTCAGACCTCTTCTCTCCTGGGCCTCTAACTATGAGAGGTGATGGATGGTAACTAAACGTATTGTGGTAATCATTTTTTAATATAACAAGTCATTGTGTTGTACACCTTAAACTAATACAACGTTAGATGTCAATCAAATCTCAATAAAACTGGGGGAAAAATAAGGTCCTTAAAATGCATATCAAAATGAGGTATCACTTCTTGCTCACGAGGATGGCTATTATAAAACAAAAGAAAAACAAAAAACATGGACAATAACAAGCATTATTAAGAATAAAAATTGAAACCCTCATGCATTGTTGGTGTGGATGTAAAATGGTACAACTGCTGTGGAAAAACAGTTTGGAGTTCTTCAAAAAGCTAAACACAGAATTACCATATAATTCAGCAATTCCACTTCCTGGTATATACCCAAAAGAACTGAAAGGGACACAAACACATAAATGTTCACAGCAGCATTATTCACAATAGCCACTAGTTTCCACAATTCATCAGTAGTACATGAATAAACAAAATGTGGTATTTACATAGAAAGAATATTATTCAGCTTAAAAAGAAATGAGTCTGGCCAGTGTTGCTCAGTGGTTGAGCACTGACCTATGAACCAGGAGGTCACAGTTCAATCAGGGCACATGCCCAGGTTGTGGGCTTGATCCCGTGGAATGGGGGAGGGGGGGAGGATGTGCAGAAGGCAGTTGATTGATTATTCTCTCTCATCATTGATGTTTCTATCTCTCTCTCCCTTCCTCTCTGAAATCAATAAAAAAATATATTTTTAAAAAAAGAAATGAAATTCTGATACAAGATGGATAAATCTTGAAAAATGATGCTAAGTAAAATAAACCAGACACAAAGGGCAAATATTGTATGATTCTACTTATATGTGGTACTTAGAATAGGCAAATTCATAGAAATACAAGGTAAAATAGAGGTTACCAGAGGCTGGGGGAGGGGGGGGGCGGATAGAGAAAGAAGGAATTATTATTTTTTTCCCCTTCAATAACTTTTTGCTTTTTAATCCTCACCTGAGGATATGTTTTTATCGATTTTTAGAGAGAGATGAAGGGGATGTGAGAGAGAAACATCGATCAGTTGCCTCCCATATACACCTAACTGGGAATTGAACGTGCAACCCAGGTATGTGACCTCACGGGGAATCGAGCCTGCAACTTTTTGTTGTATGGATGACACTCCAACCAACTGACCCACTTGGCTGGGCTACTTATTTAAATTTTTTAATTTGTCCTCCCCTTAATAGGATGAAAGCTCCATGAAGGCAGAGATTTTTGTCAAAATTTACTTCTCAGTACCAATCATGCCTGGCATATACTAAGGCAATCAATAAATACTTATTGAATGAAAGAATAAGGAATTTACCAACTTGTGCATTAAGGTTAACTTAATAATACTGAATATGCATAGGCCGGGAACTAGACACTCCTAGGATTTTAACTCTGGGTAAAAGCAGGTGCTATTCTATAATCTGTTATCCCTCAAGCTAAATTAAAACTTTTGTGTCTTGGCAAGTATCCAATAAGGCCCTAAGTTTAATAAAAAGTACCCTGATATATAAAAAGTACACAGTAAGCAAATGTCAAATAAAGGGGAAAAGGTTGGATAAATGATATTATAGAACAAGAGGTTCCTTGGACCCATTCATGCCTCACAGTAAAGCTAAATATTAAAATCAACTTTCTCTTGTGAACCAATGTCACCCCAATAAATTCAATAAAATAAAAGTCAACTGAATTTAAATCCAAGTTTCATGTGAATATCCCTTTTCCCAAGCTCTATCACTGAACTTTAAGAGGCTTATAAGAAACAGAGCTGAAGAACAAAGCAGTCTACCAGGAATAAAGAAAGGCAGGCCTGTGCACTGGGAAAAGAGATTATTTTTCATGGCAAAATGCATTATAGCAAAGTCAGCTTGGCAGGGCCTCAGTACCTCCAAAAACATACAATCTCTGCAACTGCAGCCTGGGCGCTAGGGGCCACATTATACACTAACAAGTCAGAGACAAGAAAGGAATTTCTGGTCTGAGAGGCAAAGACTAAAACGCAGCTGACTCAGAGAAAGAGTAAATTAAGAGAGGAGGATTCATATTTGTGAAGAATGTGGATAAACTGATGTCATATCCAATTTAGAGAAAATGCTAGATTAAGGATCATTGACACAGTACAGTAGGCATTGTGGGTTATAAGCTCAAGCAAGCAACTTAAAGCAACCATTCAGATTCGGTGACAGACTCTTCAGGAAGTTGCTACTGTCCTTACCTAAGACAACATTACTCCTATCATCACCTGGTTTCCAGCCTGACCACCAGGGGAGGTGTGGTGGACTCTTCTTTCATGCCTCGTAAGTTTCACAGCTGTCTAGTATAAATGGTAATTAACTACTAAACAGCCATTTTCTTCTCCCCTCCAGAGGAAAATTATTCACCAGCTATCTAGAACAGCGGTTGCCAATCGGTGGTCCGTGAGGTCCAAATGGTTGGCGACCGCTGATCTAGAAAACAT